TAGAGAATACGTATTGTAGTATTGCTCAGTTAATAGGACGTACTTTAAGGAATGAGTTCAAACCTTTATTTATAGCTCATTGATTGGGCTGAAGTTTAATTATTTGAGATTGTCGGGCCCAAACCCTATTTGAAAGTAATTGGGCATCGGTAGTAGTGGTCTTCAATATTGGGTTTGTGGCTCATTAGGTAAAGAAATTGTAGGCCCATTGGGTTGGCCCAATTACGCATATCAATTAGTTTTCAAATTTTGTCTCTCATACATGTCAAATAGTGCATTTTTGGTTAATGAGTTTCCCTTTTTTTAATCAATTGTTTCATAATAAAAACGTAAATTTACAAAGGCACATAATTCTTTTTTTGGTTAATTAGATTTTATGCACAATATTTATATTAATTGTAAAAAAAACCCCACTTACAAGAATCACCCATCATATTATTAATGAAATAATTTCACATTTTTTTTTTGAGTACATGAAATAATTTCACATTATTAGTCTTCAAATTTTATCTCTCCTAGATGTCAAAATAATGTCTTTTTATTGGTTAATGACTTTCCTTCCTATAGACAATATTTTGATTAAAAAAATGTAGGACTTAAATGCAATTTTTATAACTTTCATATTTTATTATATTTAAATTAATTTAGATAAATACGGAAATTATATTAATTTAAAATAATTACTTTATTTGTTACCTTTATTACATTTCTTAACTCTCCTATAAATTACCATTCAATACATTCACCTTCTTCAACTTTTCCACATACATTTTTTCTGTTTCGGAGATATGGAGAGAATTCTTGAGAAATAATTGTATTGGTATCACCTACATGCAATGGTATATTTCATTATAGTCCCTTTTGTAGTCTAATTTAATTTAGTGCTTTATTTTGTATTTGATTTCTTCATTCAATTTTATTTGCAGCCTTTGAGTAATGTTTTTGTTCAAGCTTCTCGGTTGACAGGGTTGTCTACTATCAACCTTCGCAACGAGGACAACATCATTTCCATGTTGTTGTGTGTTCACGACAAAAAAAAACAAGGAAAAATGTATGTGCTGTTGACTAAGGTTTGGACAGAGTTTTGTTACGCAAATAACATGGTTTGCGGCAACAAATACTCTTTTTATTTTAACCAATGGGATGATGTACTTGAGGTTTTGCTTGGCCCAATCTTTTAAATGTTATGATATGTCTTGGCACTCCTTTAAGCTTTATTAATAATATGAGTTGCAACGATTTTCAAATAATTTCGATTTTCTTTATAATGTAATCTATCATTTATACATTATACAGACATATGTATTCATATATATCGAATGCATATACTAGCCACGTGGAAAGAGCATTGTATTCCATTAACATAATTGTGGGCATCAACACGGAAACGAGTAGCCATAAGATAAATCGAATAAAGGTATGGAAGGCAAAAACTATTATAATATATTACAAAAGAACCACACAATCGGGCCAACAAAGGAAATTTCAAAAATATCTAAATACAATAGAACCTCGATAAATTAATACCCGATACATTAATAACCTCGCTTAAATAATAAATTTTCCCGGTCCCGACTCGGAGACAACGTGCTAAATTAATAAATCGATAAATTTATAAGATAATACACATTCGAAAATTTTAAGAAGCCCCATATATTATATAAATTAATAGGCGGCCGTTATATACAAACCTATTTTTTTATTAGTTCAAAACCACATAAAGGAGTTTACTAGTTCAAGCCGGTAAATTAATCTAATTTTATTACATCAAGACCAAAGATGACAAATATACCCTTATCCACAAATAATACTTAAATACAAATAAATCTTATTTTTAATTTGTTCAAGACCAAAAAAAAATTAAAAAAAAAAAAAAACAAAACAAAAAGGAAATATCACGACTGCCAAATATCAATATATGCTATGTATGAATGAACATTAATCTATGCTTATTTCTTGTTGGGTTGCAATGATTTGACCGATTTTGGAAAAAAAATTGAGATTGAAATTGGTTTTTTTATTTTTTTTCGTTGGTTTCCCAAATCGGTTTATCCAGACCGATTTTGTACACGAAAATCGGCGTCATAATACCGATTTTTGTTAACCAAATTGGCGACACAACGTCGACTTTACAAGTCAAAATCGGCGTTCTAATGTCGATTATTGAGTACAAAATCGGTTTTCGAATACCGATATTTTTTGAATTTTTTTTTAAATAATATATTATATATTTGGTTAATTGATATTTTTTAAATATTTGAAACAGAAATGTTTATCACCATTCGGTGGCGTCTACCACTCCTTTAACCCAATCGAGTAGAGCTTTCCGTATCTCAAATATTTATTCGTTAGATAATTCATTTGAATAATCCTCCATCAATCCCCTAGGTTGATGTACGAAAGTATGAGAAAACGGTCTAAAAAAACACAGATAATAAAATCGGTATTTAAAAACCGAATTTTGTAGTACAAGTCGGCATGACAATACCGACAATACAAAAACAAATCGGTGTTATCATGCCGATTTTTACTACAAAAATCGGTTTTTAATACCGATTTTTATTAAAATAATCGGATTGTGGTTACCGACTTTAGTAACAAAAATCGGTATTTGCAGACCGATTTTTGGTATCGTCGAATTTTTTTCCCAACAAAAAAAAAACGACCCAAAAGCAAAAATAAACGGTTAAAACATATTTCATTGTGTTCTCCACCCTCGTAAACCACCATATCATTGTTTTCTGGTTCCATCGTGAATGTTTGGTATGTATTTGATAATTTTGGTGTGTAGGATTTCTTGGTGGATTTGTGAAGAAGAAGGGGAAGAATGAGGAGAGTTTTAAGTCATGAAATAAAGAAGAAGGATTTCTGGATTTATGTATTTTATTTGGTCATGCACAAAGGAAATGATTTTTTTTTTTTTAATGCTTTGTGTTTTTTTAATTTGATTTTAAATTTCATTAAGGGTAAATTAATATTTTTATGTTGGAGGTCTTGAACTAATAAAAAAATGGGCTTGCATATAACCGCCGCCAAATTAATAATGCATAAAAATAATTCTTAAATTACATGGTACAGTACATATTTTATAGATCTATAAAGGCTTAATACAATATAATTTAATTGTTGCTTATTTCTTGTGAAAATTCACATTACCATCAATCTCGTCCCTCAATTTTCTTAATATGGTTAGAACTTTCGGTATAATTTTCTCATAACTCAATATAAAATCGTTCTACACCACAGCTGCTTTAAGAGCTTCCGTTTGTGAAACGGGGCTATATATTGCATTGAACTAATGGTACAATGAATAATATACACGTAAAAAAAATTAAAAAATAATGTATTTATTGAAAATAATAATAAAAGTAATTTCATAAATTAATAAGTTATTAATTAATGTATACATTAATAATTATTAATTTATCGGTAAGTTAATATTTTACTAAATTAATGAAATTTTGATGGTTCCAACTGTATTAATTTATAGAGGTTTAAGTCTAATTAATATTTACATAGATGTTATACATCCTACATAGATATGTATTGCTTTTATAATTTGTGAAACTAATGTTATATGCATCTAAGCCCATATAATGTTAATATTTATCGTTAATAACTATGTATTTACTGTCTTTATTGTTTTAATAAAAAAAACCCTTAATCCATGCAATAATTAAACGTAAAATGGTAAAATCATGTACAAATTATATTTAATTGTTATTGTAATAATGTACAATAAGCAAGCCAGATGCATAAAAAATTTCACATGTACAATAATGTACAAAATTATATATTGTTTCCATATAATTTATGTAACATTTATTAACATATATAAAATACATATGGATATTTTATATATCGAATATATATTTTCGTAAGTTTGCTCTTTCGGATTCAATCCCACATATCCGAAGCCAACCAACCCAACTCGAGATATCATCCATATTTTACTAATCCATACAGTGTAATTTCAATATGAAGCCCCAATCCCATCCTATCTCATCCCTCCAACCAAAACGCGCCCAAGCATATTAAAAAAATTTAAACATGTTGCATAATTATAATTCAATTAGTCCGATTTTTTCAATTATTACTCAGATAGGCTATAATCTTATTCAGGATGGGATTCTTGTACAATAGACTCAGGTAAGTGGGTAATTTGGAAAGTTGAGGACGTTGTCGGGAAGTGTTTGCATCCGATACTAGTATCATCGAAAGCAATGTAACGGACCATTACATCTGTTTAACGAAAATGGAAATATATATATATATATATATTTAGGCTGCGGCTATATGCAAGACTAATTTCACTTGTGCAAGACCAAATTAAAATTTTCAATGTATAAATACTATAATACCCTTATTTATTAAAAAAATAAAAAATTCCAAATATGCAAGACCAAAAATTCAAAAACACAAAAAACCCTATCACAAGACCACAAAACGACAAGATCAACTATCATCTTCTCCATCTTCCAAAACCCACAAGACCTTTCTCCTTCCTCCTCCATTAACCCACAAAACCTAGAAATTCAAAATCATCAAAACTCAACAAATCTTACAAAGATGGCAAGTATGGAGTCAGGAGACATCAAAATAGAAGATTCTACGATGGAAGAACCCAAGAATGTATGCATTTATGGGTTTTTTTCAGCTAGAATATCGATTTTCCAAAAAAAATCCCGCGCAAACGAATTCGACATGTATAGGTCGAATTTTACAGCTAAAAATCGACATTTAGATGTCGATTTTGAGGTATAAAATTCGACATTTAGATGTCGATTTTGAGGTATAAAATTCGACATTTGAATTTGTGCTATAAATTCGACATGTCAATGTCGATTTTTACCTATGAAATTCGACGCTTAAGTGTCGATTTGTAGCATAGTTTTTCGACACCTTTGTGTCGATTTTTGTTTTTTTCTCATTATTTGTATTTGGTCTTACATGAGAAAAAAAAAGCCAATTTAATTTATGGGCATACTTGTCATTCCATCTTAATAAAATAGAATCTTTTGGAATTTTCTTTAATTTGGTCTTACACAAGTGGAATGAGTATTGCATATAGCCGCAGCCATATATTTATTCGTCTATATCACTACTAAATTAAATTGAACTTGTTGACAAGATTTTGGCACTAGCTTCTTCAGCAAACTGATAATTCTCAAAAACTTGGAGCAGAATCTCCCGACAGGGAACAACAGCCCTAAGCTTGATGCAAGCAAGGAAAGCACCTGAAAGCTTGCGGTGTAGGCTATAAGCCTCCTCGGGTGGTGGTGTGAGCCGATGCCTGAGCATTGTTGCACCAAGGTTTGATATGCTTTGAGTAATGTTGGTAGATCCAAAATCGTACCCTCCACGTTTTGAAAATGGTAGCCCCACAACAAAACCCGCCTGGACATGAGCCTCTAACATAATATCAGATTCCGTTCCTGTAAGAAATCCAAGTCTCCTTGACATCTCAATCACTGCTTCTCTGTCATTATTTGCGCAAGCAAGCACCTGTCATTCAATAACGTCAGTCGCCGCCAACTCATTTGGAACATTATTACTGAAAGCAAACTCCAATCAACAAATTTTACCATTCTTATATAATCATCTACAAAATGTTTTGGGTAGTCCCTAGCAGCTCCAAAGTCTATAAGATTGATCGATTTTTCCGCCTCATCATATAAAAAGTTACTCCAGTTCGGATCAGTCTGCTTGATCAAGGAAAAAAGACAAGTATAAACATAACGTAAAAAATGAGAATAATAAGTGAAGTTCAAATACTTTATATTTGAACTGATGCATTCCAGAACTCTTAACAAAAAAAAGCGTATCATAAGACATCTGTGTAATATAGAGACCATGCCTGCATGAAACGGAAGACAAATAACTCCATCAAAGTAAGCTCCAGTAACTTTTTTCCAACATAATTGCGAGTCTCTTGGCTCAATAATGCCACCTTATCAATTGGAATGCCTGCAATTAGTCATAATACATGATAAACATATATAGAATGGACCACACATATTACACTGTTGGGAACTACAATTTACTATAGGAGAAGCAAAAGTATTGAAACTGGATTATATCACAACTTCCTTTTCAACAAGATAAGTTTTTATTTATTCTAAATACAATCCGGAATCGATATATCACTAAACCAAAAAAAAATATTTTAATTTGAATCGTACAAAATTATTTTTACTTATTATTCTAATATTATTGGAGGAAAAGAAAAACAAGATATAGTGAAGCAAATACCAGGAACCAGTTCTGTAGACAGGACTCTTTTACTAGATATATTATCCACCACAAATGGAACATAAAAGCCCTTTGTATTAGTCAGGAGACTGCGAAACCTTTTCTGATTTTTGGCCTCCAATTCGTAGTCACATTCACGAGAAAGTTCCTCTTTCGCAACCTGAGAAAGAAGTCAGGAAGGTGTCACAATCACACATGGCATCACAGATCTGGTGTATCTACATTTTTTTGTAACTGTAAAAATATGGAATGAATATTGTCAGGCCAGATCGTAAAAGTTGCAGTCAGAAAGGTGCATAAAGTTTAAAGTTTGAGACAACTTCAGACCCACTAAGAAATAATTTATATCAGGATTCGAAGAAGCCAGAAGACAAAATATTTGAAATGAGATCAAAGCTTCCGACTCATGATTGATTGCTAAGCATGCAACTGTGAAAGGCAAGTATTGCGAGGTTTATTCCAACTATTTTGGAACACAACTCTTGACAGAATTCTTTACCTTCTTTAGATTAATTACTTTCTAGACCTACTACATGGTAATATACATCAGATATCTTCATAAAAGTAAGCAAAATACTGGAACGCAAAAACACTACCTTCATTGCATTGTCGAGGTACATTTTTTCTGGTAACAAGTTTGTATAAGTTAATAGCAGTTTAACATTATCGATGTCACTTTCAATGCTATCTGCAACTCCTGGATACTGAATTTTGATTGCAACCTCCAAACCTTCCTTCGTGACAGCACGATGGACCTAAAGTTATTTTATAAGAATCGGGATTCAGGAGATGAAACACAAAACACAACAGCGGCAGATCAATAAGATCCAGTCAAACTTTTTGATGAATAATAAGATGCACAAATGAACAGATACGGATATATATTTTGCCTGAAAAGACAACGAGTTCAGATATGTGTGAAACTCAAAGAAATGCCTCCGGTTTTGGTACTTACTATTGCAATCAAATAACACCACCTGTCATCTAAGTTGTGCTAAAACTGAGCTCGAGTACTTTTTATCAAACAATATCTCTTTCCAATTCAGCTATGTTCAGATATAGTTAATTAAAAACAAAAATAGGGAAATATTGAATGAATTGATTGCACAACTGAAATCACACAAAAGGAATCAAATATAAGCATAAATTACATAGCTGAACTTCATTACCTGTCCTATACTTGCTGCAGCCATTGGCTCATAGTCAAAACTTGTCAAATTTGATGACCAGTTGGAACCCAATTCAGCATCCAAAACCTGATTGAGCTGATTCCTTGGCATCCGATCTGCACCCTGACGGACAATGTCTAAAGCTGCTAATATCTGAAATGGCATACGAGTTATTACGGTTAATCAGAAACCATAAAATTATGGTTTGTAAGGACATGAAAATGTTGGTTAAAAAAATTCGAAGATTGAATGTGGTCATGGAAGTTAGAACTTCTAAAAAAAAAAACGCATTGCCCTCATCTGCATGCCTATCATTTGCTCTTCTTCAACGGTAATATAGTTGGCCCTCTAATTAAATTTCATCATCAGAAAAATAAAAAATCTCACTCTCACAAGCCCATAAGAAAACCACACGGTAAAGATCTCATAACATATGAAATTTTGTCAAGTGATCCATGCACATAAACCATCATAATTAAAATGTTGCCAGTTGCCACTACTAAATCAACCAGCGCATAAATAAAGCCTTTTTTCTAATCTAGAAATTTAAACATCTCGCAACTCTATTCTACAAGTATGATTCACAAAATCTGATCATTCAACACTAGTTTTTTTTTTCTGATGTAGAACTTTATCCCAGCATGACTTCTTTTTAGAACAAGCTTCTATATTTATTTGGTTACACTGTAAAACATCATTCTAGTAAAAATTTAAATGAAGTCAAGTCAAGTCAAGAAGGAGATCTGGCAAGTGGAAAGAACTGATGCACCATGTATGTGCAGCAAAGTATAGCCATAAACTGCCTGAACAATTATCTTCGAAAAATAATTGGGGCCATACTTTTATCATAAGAAATGAGAAGGAGAATGTCCGGGCATGCATACAATCATATAACATGAAAGAACTCGTAATCTAAATGAATATGCAGTTACATACTGGAGCAGGTACGAGAGATTCATCCTGGATGCTCAACATTTGGCCTAATTTGAGAGCTGCTCCACGCATTCTGCATAATGCAAGAGCTAAACGTTCTGCATTTCTCTCAGACAAGTATGGGGAAAGGGCATGTTGGTTGTTTTCTGAGTTAGGCGTACCAAACAAGACCCTCTTTGTAGACTCCTGAAGTGTCCCCCAAGCAAGACCAGCTCCAAGTCCAGCAAACCTTCAATCATACTTGAAATAATAAAACTAAACTCATGCTAATATCATTTTCTCATGAGATTCAACAGTTAGCTCTAGCTTATTGAAGATGAAAGCGTAAGTTTGAGAATACAATGTACAATACTAAAACGGAATCCAACCATTAAGGGAACTGCACTAGTGAAAACATAGGTCAGAACAACAGAATAGACGAGTTAAAATAGGTAATTGCTACAGTCCAAAAAGGCATCTACAGAAACTTCATTGAAATATTGATATTCATCTGACAAATAAAATAGGCCTCGTATTTTGACATCACTCATTTTGTTTTCTTCAAACACTCGTAAAACATAAATTCATTACATTGTGCCCTACAACAACATATCAGATACTAAGTGAATAAGACTATCATGAATCATATATTCTCACCCCGTTTACTGAAGTAATTAAGTGTACCTTTTGCAACAGAATTGCATAAACATGCCAGTTGATAATATACCCTAATAGCAGTGAGTAGAAGTATGGATTAACTTACCCCATGGCTCTGGAGAAAGGAGTAGAAGGGACTTTCCTTTCCCTGAGCCTCCTCTGCTTCAAGGGAGTGACAACACCATTCACTGCAGTAGTATTTGAGGTCGATGGAGCAGCAGACTGGAGACATACATCCACGGAAGTTTCGGGAATGACAGCACCGTCAACTATAGTGGCATTCGAGGTCGAGAGAGCACCAGGCGGGGGATATACATCCACGGAAGTTTGGGATTCTGGATCCATGGAAGAACCAATATTTAGAAGCACAGTTGCATCTGCACCAGGCGTCGGTGGAGGATGAGAATTGGAAGCGGGAACATGATCCTTAAAGAAGATGACACTGTCGGTGACAGTATGTCTGTGAACATCATTATCAATCTGACGGAGTTTTCCTTTGGTGAGACCGACAACATCGGAGACGGAGAGGATGGCGGCCTTGATTGCAGTTTCCAATGGAACGGTGTTGGAGCGGCTGATGCCCTCCTTAGCCACCAGAGATAACCCATCCAACACTCTCGCAGTGTCCCTTAAAGATACCATCTAAAATAATAACTTGTATTGAGATCCAATTAAATTTTCGCATTAGAAATTCTTGAGCAAAAAAAAAAAAAAAAAAAAAACACTAGTAATCACAGATCCAATTGCGTTGTGATATCAAAATAGGAGCCTGCTTTTATCTAGTTTGATTTTCTACTAGTTCACCAAGTGCATACATGAGAAGAGTCTAACAGCACATTTTCTCGATTAGGCCAAAAACAATTTGTGTGCTATCGTCGTTCCGTTTAAGTTAAATAGTTAAAAGAATCAGAATAAATCTAATCATACAAAATATTTGATTGTGTTCGTGGGCAGTGACACATTTTGCGACGATTTTCTGTTTCTAGCATATGGTAATCTACAACGAGATTAAATCCCCAGAAATAGCAGACTACATGATACAACCGCCATTAAACCTGTAAGAAGCCCTATCTAATCACTTAGCGGCAAAATCCTCAGATATAATTATTCTCAATCACGTAAACCAAAATGAAAACATTATTACCCTAGAAGGAAGTGGAAATTGGGCAAAATTGCAAAACGAAGGTTATGGAGTTCAATTTGTGAAATCAAAGAAGCCAAATCAAACACCCCACGCAAAAGTTAAAGTATTTTTTTTTTGTCGTCAAAACAGCAGAATGAAATACCTTTTTGAGTGATGAAAGCTCGGATTTTGCTGTTGAGAAGATGACCCAAGGATAACGGGGTGGAAATCGGACGGATCGGATCGGAATTTAGAAACTCATTCCGATTCCGAAAAAATCGGAAATTTCGGAATTTCGGAAAAAATCGAATATCATGTAAATTTAGAATTTTTTTTCCGAAAATCTGTAAGAAATTGAAGAAAAAATTAAGATGTAAAGAAATTGAACTGCAGCGGAAAACAAAGAAAAAAATGGAATGGATGAACAAGTAAGTATAAAAGAATTCTGCAATCAGAGGTTTTTGGCTATAAAAGAATCGGAAGCAATGATGTTTCAACCAACAAAAGCAAAAAAGAATGTAGAAAAAGGATTCATAGACAAAGAAATTGGAGAACAAAATTTACTTTCATCTAAAGCCTCCAAAACCATCAAAGGCTCTTCAATTTTTAACTAGTGCGGTAAAAAAAAAAAAAAAAAAAATAGGATTCATTGTGAGGAAAAGTAAAGAAACAAAGACGATGAAAAGGGGCTAGTTGTAATTTATAAATGGGCCAATAATATATGGATCACATTTTTTATATTCTTCAAACAAATAATTCTGCATACCAGCCCAAAGCATTTATTGGTTTTAGCATGAAGACACATATATAACAATTTTTAAATATATTAAAAAACAAATTGGAAAAAAACCAGAAATTTTTGGAATAATTTCGGATTGGAATTCGGAAATTCCGGCAATTCTATATCAAAGTCCGATCCCGATCCGATTTTTTTCGGAAATTTCGGAAATCGGATTTTCGGAATTCGTAATTGAGAAAATTGTTCCAAAATCGAAAATTTTTTGGCTCGGAATCGGCGGAAATCGGAAATTTCGTTCCGATTTCCCCCCTAGGTTTAGGAATTAAGAATCGACATATAAAATGTTCAAAATTGAGAGCAAGCAAATATTTATGTGGGAAATTTGTAAACAACCCCCTACTATTTAATACAATAGCAAAATAACCCCACAACAAAATTATCCCAAAAAAGACGGTACTATGAATAATTATGATAGAGTTCAGGATGTCCAAACAATTACCTAATGAACATAGTGTTGGGCTAAATATCTAACACGCAATTGCACGTATCGCAAAAAAGTAGTAAAAGTGGACTCGTGAGAGTCGGATGTCTATCCCACAGGGAATACATACTCAAATTACCTAATCCTAAGTACCGAATTCTAACAACTATGATTTTTATCTAGCCTACGCAAGGTTGTTCAATTTAATCAACTAAATAATTAGACTAATTATGAAAGCTAATAAACGCAAAAGAATATCAATAAAAACAAATTAGGATTTTATCTTCCCCTATGAGATAATTCATCACCCAATTAAACATCTATTATGCAAGTTAAGATTCATGATTACTAACCCGAGACACTAAATTACTCATAACCCACTGTCGCGAGTATTATGAGTCTATTAGTCATAAACGGTTCACTATATGTCTATGCAAACCAAATATGAATAAAACATTAACTAACAAGTCTCGTAAACGGCTACCTAAGGTGATATATGTATGTCTACGATACCACATGCAATTGACACACTCATCCGGTGAAAACTACTCGAAGGCTCTTCTACCCATGTTCTAATTATTAAAACGATATGTCGGTCAATTCTAATAATAACACATAACAACATAAATTAGCTAGATTCATGCACTAAATAAGACCAGATAGAAGAAATAATTGTAATACCCCACCTTTCCAAAACCCTAAAACCTGAAACTAATATTCCTAACTCGAGAATCCATAGGCAATATTATTACGTGATATTAATTAGTGACATGAATCCAATTGCGTGACTTACGTGAATAATTACATGCGTTATGTAATTATTTGGAATGTGGTGATTACATGATATTCATTTTGTGAAATCCACTAGAAGATATATATGTGTGATTTATGTGATTTAGTGTCATTTCCGTAAATTGAAATTCTAGGAATTTCATGAATTACGTGACTTATGTGAATAATTGCATATCTTAATTATTTGGTAGATTATTTTTGAAATTTGATAACTTATGTGAATTATAGATATAGTACTAGAGTGTGATTATATATATATATATATATATATATATATATATATATGTCCGGATTGTGTGTGTAGTGTGCAAGTTGGGTTTATTTTAAATAAATAAATTAGTGATAATTTGCATGTCTTTCCACTTGGCACACACTAATCATTTCATTAATCTCACACTCAAAGAAATCCCAAAAGACACCCTTATTTCTCATTCTTCTTCCACATACTCATCTTACTTGTCTTCTTTCCCCATTTCCACTGAAGCCACCACCTCCACAATCGGCCTCCCCTTCTTCCACCTCAAACTCCAAATTTGCAAGAAAATCAAAAATAAAAATGAAGGTCCCGTATTTAACCCTTGCTTTAGAATACACCAAAAACACCATAAAGTCTTCTTCCCTACTCATGGGAGATAATAATACATCCCTCTTAGAAGCTCACACCATTTCATTCACAATCAAAGTGGTTTGGTTAGATTTTGGTGCTTGAAAGCATTCCCTCCTTCGGTTGTTTTCTTTTCTTCGATTTGCAGGTAAGAAATTCTGATTTTTTGCTGCAATTAGGAGGTATCAATAGTATAAAAAGAGTTTTCAAAATTTCTTATAAGATTTGGAATGATTTCGAAAGAGTTAGGGCTTTTTGGGGGAAAATGGAAAAGACGTGTTGAGTGTTGATTTATTGTTCTTGCATGCATCATTTGTGTTGATAGTGGGTAGATACAAGTTTTATTGGCCAAAAGCATTGAAAATTTTGGATTTCAAAAAAGGGTTACAAGAAAAATGAATTTTGAACTTTTATGGTGTTGCATCTGTGGATCGAAATTTTTTTGAGGCAAATCTTTAATTTTCAAGAAGTCGGTCATAATTGTGTTTTTAAATCTGTTTTCAGCATTTATTGAACAAAAATTTCGGATTTAAAAAGGTTTTGCAAGAAAAAAATTGATTTTCGAACTTCTAGTGATCTTGCATGTATATATCTTGAGATTTTGGGGTGAAATATGTAATTTTCGAAAAAAGGCACCTACGGAAACTACATTGAAAGATTGATATTCATTTGACAAATAAAATAAGCTTCGTATTTTGACATCACTCGTTTTTTTTTCTTCAAACACTAGTCAAACATAAATCCATTACATTGTGCCCTATAACAACAACATATCAGATACTAAGTGAATAAGTTACAACAACTATAATTCATTGAGACTATCATGAATCATATATTCTCACCATATTTATTGAAGTAATTAAGTGTATTTTTTGAAACAGAATTGCATAAACATACCAGTTGATAATATACACTAATAGCAGTGAGTAGAAGTATGGATTCACTTACCCCATGGCTCTGGTGAAAGGAGTAGAAGGGACTTTCCTTTCCCTGAGCCTCCTCTGCTTCAAGGGAGTGACAACACCGTTCACTGCAGTAGTATTTGAGGTCGATGGAGCAGCAGACTGAGGACATACATCCACGGAAGTTTCAGGAATGACAGTACCGTCAACTATAGTGGCATTCGAGGTCGAGGAAGCATCAGGTGGGGGATATACATCCACGAAAGTTTGGGAATTTGAATCCATGGAAGAAGAAATATTTAGAAGCACAGTTGCATCTGCACCAGGCATCCCTGGGGGATGAGAATTGGGAGCTGGAACATGATCCGTAAAGAAGATTACAGTGTCGTTGCCAATATCTCTGTAAACATTGTCAATCTGATGGAGCTTTCCTTTGGTGAGTCCGGCAATGTCGGCGACGGAGAGGACGACGACCTTGATTGCGGTTTCCAATGGAATGATGTTGGAGCGGCTGATGCCCTCCTTAGCCACTAGAAATAACCCATACAACACTCTCGCAATGTCCCTTAAAGATACCATCGATGTCTGTGTCAAACTTAGCTAACCCTAATTCATTGAAATTTCAATCGATTAGCCCCTTAAAAAATTCAAAATGGGATGGAACTCTGAATACCCTACTCTGTTTGTATGAGTTAATCATGTAACGCGTCCATTATTTGTCCTCATACAATACAAACGGAACCAGCTTGTCTCTTGCCATTGCGTTGGCAATGTTGTGCCCAAGACTTTCTAATATTCCAAACACAGATTATTACAAATACAAAGCAATGTTGTAAGTGGATCGGACCGGCCGGTCCGATCAGTTCAACTGCACCCCTAGTTGATCCAGTCCGGTTCAACACCCAAAACCGTGAAAAATGAAAACCGGAGTTGATCTGCTCGAAACTAGAAAGGGTCCGGTCGAACTACTCAAAACCGGTGAAAAACTCGCGCAAAACCGGCAAAAACCCGGTCAAACCCGGTTTCAAAACAAAAGGCCAAAAACAAAAAAAATGTGTACATACCTGAATTTGATTTATGGAATGAGGTTTGAGAGATGTGCAAGTTTTGTGACAATTATAATAATATTTTGTTGTGGCGGATGAGTTATGAAAGAAGAGTGGAAGAAAAAAAAATAGTTGCAGGGAGCTGCCTCGCTGAGATGGAGCCGCCGCTTAAAAGAATGGAAGGGATAGATGGTTTATGAGTTGGCCGCAATAAGAGGTTTTTTTGCAACTAGAAATATAATTTATTATACTATCGATGTATATGTCAAACATGATCCTTAAAGAAAATGACCTTGTCGGTGACAGTATCTCTGTGAACATTATCAATCTAACGGAGCTTTCCTTTGGTGACACCGGCAACGTCGGAGATGGGGAGGACGACGGCCTTGATTGCGGTTTCTAATGGAAAGGTGTTGGAGCGGCTGATGCCCTCCTTAGCCACCAGAGATAACCTATCCAACACTCTCGCAATGTCCCTTAAAGATACCATCGATGTCTGAGTCAAACATAGCTACCCCAAAAAATTCAATCAATCAGCCCACATCTATTCTAATGGGATGGATCTCCGAAATACTCTACTCTGTTTGTATGAATTAATCACGTAACGTGTCCATTCTTTGTCTTCATACAATGCAAACAGAACCAGCTTATGTCTTGCCGCTGCGTTGGCAATGTTGTGCCCAAGACTTTCTAATATTCCAAACACAGATTATTACCAATACAAAAGATCACAAACCTGATTCGATTCCT